CATTTGCTTGTGCTTTAGGGGTTGGTGTGCACATGCTGCAGAGCTGCTTTGCCCCAGTCCCTGTGAGCGTTGCTGCCCTGCACCTTGCCTCTCCGGTTGCTCCAAGCCCAGCTTGAAGTCCCTGGCGCTGAACGTCCTCGTGTGGGGAGCAGTGACACTGAAATAATTGCTGGCTTCTTAGCTGGAGGGCTCAAAGAGGCCAAAATCTCTGAGCAAGCTCCTGGGAAGGTTTTTTTTTTTTTTTTCCCCCTTCTCTGTCCTGCCCTGAATCCCACCCCAGCCCTGGTCAGAGTTCAGGCTTGCAGGGGCCTGGCTCGCTGCTCTGTGCTTGTGCCGAACCCAGGAGAGCCGAGGCTTGTTTTGGCTGGGGCCTCTCGGTGTGACAGTAATGCAAATGGAGAATAATAATGCCTCTGTGCGCAGCGAGCACGGGGGGAGAGTCATTGAAATGCTTTCTCCTGCTGCGCGCAGCCCATTGCCGGATCTCTTTATGAGGCTGCCAAGACACGGGGTCACTGCAAAGAAAGGCAAAGTCCTGGGAAACCCCCCCAGAACCTCTGGCAATCTGCTGCTCGGGAAGAGAGGGAGGGTTGGGAGCTGCCGTGTGCTAGGTGCGGGGCTTCACACGTGCTTAGCTGCAAACCATGTCCCAGGTGCATTGAATTGCCAAGTGCTGTGGTGGCCTCGTCCCCAGCACCCCTTTGGCATCCCTGGGTGCTGGCTCGGAGCCTCCAGCCGTCCCCTGCCTTTTCCCCAGCCCCTGCAGAGAGGGTTGGGTTGTTTCTCTCCTGAACCCAGTGCTCGTGGTGTGCTCCTCGCCCAGAAGGACCTGCTGGCTCCCCACAGCAGCTGGGTGCTGGGCTCCTGCTCCATGGTGTGCCGGGCGGGTTTCCTCACCTCACTGATGGAAGTGGAGAGAGGTTTTCAGGTCGATCCAGGATCAATATAGGCTTTATTTTCTAAGCCTGGTTATCAATAGACAAGCTCATCCTCGCCGTTCAGGGAAGATTCCCAAGCATCTCCTGCATATTTTAATCTCTCTGCAATTCTGGAGCAATCAATGTATTGATACCATATTCTCAACTGTAAAAGGAACCGAGGCTCTTTGGCTTCAGCCCTGTCATTAACCACAACTCCACCTACCGTTGGATGGTCAAAAATATGGGCAGGAGGATCTGGCTTGGTTGGAAAAGAATTTCTTGGGCCAGCGCTGCACGTGGTGAGCAGCTCGGGTGCCCCCGGGGAGCCTCTGGGCTCGCTGCCCGCAGCGCGGCGCTGGGAGGATGAGAAGCGCTGGCACCCCACGGAGATGGAAGGGATGCGTCCCACGCAGAGAAAGAAAAGGGAGCATCAACACATTTTATTTTTTTTTTCTTTTTGACAAATTTGTTGTTTTAACTGAAATGAATGTCAGAGGAAAAAGATATTCTAGCGAGGAAGCCAAACCTCAGTCTTCTGCAATTTTAATTTCCCTTTGGAAAAGAGGAAAAAAAAAAAAAGGTAAATAAAAAAAAAAAATCTTTAAATCTCCTGAAAAATACTGACATTTGCAGCCAGCTCAGTTGGAGAGAGGTGCCTGTGCCGGTGTTTAGCAGCTCTTCTTTGTGCCTCTCCACGCCAGGCTGGCTGCAGGAGCCTCGTGGAGCCGCTGGCTTTGAGGGCTGTGCACTAACCTTGGCAACCTTGAGGCATTGGCAGGTTTTGAAATGCTGTTTGCAAAATGCATTGTGGAAATGTAGGGCATTCCCCGGTGACTAACGGGCGGATCCGGCCCGGGTTCGCTTCTTGAAAAACACTTCAGCAAATGGCTTGGCTGGGGAATCTGTAACGTTTATCAGGTATTAGCGGTGCTCTGAAGTTTACCAAAATGCTAATGTCGTGCTGTTAAACTTGCAGGGCCCTTGAAATTTAGGTAGCGCTGCATCTGCTGAAGATGTTGTGGTGGTTAAAATTGTGTGGGGCCTTGCTTTTCCTCGGGGTTGTGGCACGAAGCGGCGACGGCTGCCCTGCGAGGGGGCAGGATGCGGCCCGGTGCAGAGCTGGGCAGCCTGGGCCAGCAGGGGTGGTCCTGGGGCAGCTCCCAGAGCTCCCCAGAACTTGGGGGTTTGCTAATGATCCCATAACGAACCTTAATGAGTCTTCATTTCCCTGTAGTCCTGCTGGCACAGCAGCCCCTTGTATGGGGTGATAGGTGCTGGTGTCTCTCTGGTGCGGTGCTGCAACGCTGAGCACGGGGGTTTTGTAGCAAAATGTGCACCCCTACACGAGCGAGTTACCTCGTGTGGTTTTCTGAAGTCTTCCTGCGTGGAGTCTCTGCCTTTCAGGGCAAATTCTCAAGGTTTTTAAAGGTATTAAATTGGCTTTTCTTACAGAAGGCTGTCACGCTAACACTTTGGGGTTCTGTCTCAGCATAACGGGTTTATTTGCCAGAAGAATTTGGGAAAAAAAAAAAGAAAAAAAAAAAGAAAAAAAAGAACCACCTTCTCATTTCATCAGCTTCTTACAATAAGCTAGATCATGCTTTATTATTAATACGTTGAATCGGTGCGTAAAAGGAGTTTTGGCAGTTGGGACTGAAAGCTACCTAGATAAAAGGGAAATATCTAATGAGACAGTTGCTGTGGATTCAATTAAGACTAAGGAAAAATCTGCTGCTTTTTTTTTTTTTTTTTTTTAAATCCTATCTTAAGAAATATTATTATGACTGCAACTGCTGCTGAGCAATTCCGAGCCATTTCCCTAGACCCTGGCACAGCAGTGGGCTCTGCATAATGCAGGCCCTGGAATGAGAGCTCAGCAGTCTGTAATGGGTTCTCAAACGAAAACGAAACGCTGGCTTCCTGGCTTGCAGCCAGACATTTGGCACTCGTTTAGCCGGGCAAATATTTCTGGGCCAGGGGAATTCTGGTTCGGCCCGTGAAGTTGCTGGGGCTGTGTTTTCGGTGGCTTCCCTTCCCCGTGGTCCCAGTGCTTGGGGGTGTCCTTTGCCTTCTCGCACCGTGTGCTTTGGGCTACGTCTTACAGCCACTGCTCTTTCTAGGAACATGCAACTTCCCAGCAAGAACGGGCATTCTGGACGCCGCTCGTTATATATTGAGTGCTGCCTTTTGGCTGTTGCTTTGCCCGAATTCTGGGTAAGCATCCATCAGCCATAAACTGGCATCAGCAGCACAGGGGACCTGCAATTAGTCTTCACCATCTTTTGCTGAGTAACAGACCTTCGCTTTCCGAGCTGCAGCACTCAGTGCGAGCCCTTCCCCTCTTACAGACAGCATCGTGCTCCACCAGCGACCTGGCAGCCGAGTGCTTCTTTGCTTTTTTCCCCTTGCCAGCAGCTTCGTGTGCTGCAGCCTGAAGAACAGCGCACAGCCCTGACCCTCTCTGGAGGACCTGGCAGCCTCCAGGAGGTTTCCTCAGTTTTGGGTGGTCTCTTTCCTGCCTCAGAAGGGAAGAAGCCGGTCAGAACAGCAGCCCTGTGTCCTGTTTCTTGTGACCCTGCCTTGGATCTCTCCTTTCTCTCCTGTTTTTTGTGTCTTGGCTCGCGCTAAGTGCTTAATGGAAGAGGTGTCTTCAGGTAGAGGCTCCCACAGGCAGGAGCTGAGTTTCTCAAGGGGCTTGGCTGCATGCTTTTTGTCACCTCCTGTACAACAAGAGTGTGACAGGAGGGCTTCAGTTTTCTGCTTAAATTCCCCAAGCCTTTCCCTAATAATACCTCTTTATCCCCAGTGCCGCTGCTTGATAACATTAGCGCCGGGGTTAGAAATTCAGCGTAAGCCACTTTTCCCATCAAACCTCGATGCTGAACGTCTTATTCCTCTGGAGCTGGGGACACCACGCAGAGCAGAACCAACAGGTCATTGCCTGTAGGACAGGAGTTGTCCCCCAGCCCCAGCCCCTGGCCCTTCTTGCCCAGGAGGGCACGAAGCAGAGGACGCAGTGTGGGGCAGGACAGGGGCTGGGGGGCTGAAGCAAGCCCCGAGGCAGGCAGGAACGGCTCAGTGAGGACCCAGGCGCATTGATTTGATGAATCATTTTGAGGCAAAAGGAGAAATTAAATGTGTGCTGAAAGCTGGCACATCAGTAAATGGGTTGCGGTTTTTTTATCCATTTTACATTTCAAAACGCTGAAATAAAACACGTCTTACGGAGAAATCCCATTAAGAAATTACTCGCCGAGTAGGCAAATGTGGGTTTTGTTAACGGGAGGCAGGGACCTGGTTTCTCTTCCCCACCAGCCTGGGACTGCCTCCGTGTCCCGGGACGAGGCCCCTCGAGGCACTGACAACGGGGAGGGGAGCTGCCAGCAGAGCCTGGGCTCGATGGGCCCCTGGCATGGCAGAGGAAGGAGGTGGCCGGACGGTTTTGGGATGCTCCGTGGGGTGGTTTTGGGGCTCTCCATGGGCGGTGTTGGGGTGCTTCTGTCCATGGTGCCATGGCACTGACCCCATGAGCTCTGGCACTACTGAGGCCGGCTGGAAGATGCTCCCACAGCGAGAGCAGCTATGGGCTGGTGGCACCCCCAGAAAGAGGACAAGATGCAGCCCCACATGGGGGGACCTGATGGATTTATCCCCTGCCTGGGGCTCCCCTGGCCATGAAGATTTCCCTGCTCTGTTTGATGTCTAGAGGAATGGGGCTTTTGGGGAGGGAAGGCCGTGCTGTCCTGGCACAGCACCCTGCTGGGGTCTACTTGAACACCTCCAGGTGGGCGCAGGGGGTGCCCACTGCCTGCTCAGAGGGACGCAGCAGTGGGTTCCCCCCTCTCAGCTCACCGCGGGTACGTTTAGGAGGAACCTTTGCTCTGCTGCTTGGCGTCTGCGAGCCAAGCACACTGCGTCTGTTCCCTGGCATCCCGTCCACCCTGCTCTTTACACAGAGGGATAAGATAAAATAGCTTCCTCCCCCTCGTGTCGCTACTGAAAAAACAGGGATGGGGAAAAAATAATCCCTCATCCCCTGCCCTGCTGGTGGTGATAGGAGTAAAGCAATCATCTGTTTTTTAAAGGAGGCTGCCAAGGCAATTGCATTATTTTCCGAACAAAGCCATTTCAGAGCTTTCTGCATTGTGAGCGTTTCCCCGGTCCTTTCGCACCGAATTGGTTGCAGCAGCAAGGCCGGGGAGTTTGCCTGGACTCCCCTCACTACCAAAATAAATGCCCAGGGCAGGATTGTTCCACTGGGCTGCTGCGAGTGGGGAGAGGGAAGGAGGAAGGAGATGGTACGTGCCGCCGGCTCTGAACTGAATGCGGTGAGGATTGCGATGTACGGGAGAGTTCAGGGGGGAAAGAGGAGGGAGTCTCGGAGCAGCCGAGGCTCGCAGGATGGCGAGAGCCAAGCTGAAGAATTCCCCTTCCGAGAGCAACTCGCACGTGAAAACCGTCCCACCGGCAACCACCGAGGATGGCCACGGGGTGAGCCCCTTGTTACCGGCTCGGAGGATGGGATCCCTGGGGAGCGATGTCGGACAAAGGTATTGCAGGACTGCAGTGGTGCGTGGGTGGGTTTTTTTTTGGGGGGGGGGAGGCAGCAGGGTTTATCTTTTGAATAAGGGGAAAAAAGGATTAGTGCCACCGGGGGCTGGAGGGGTGGCAGATGAAATCCTTCTGCGAGAGATGTTAAAGAGCCACAGGGGCTCTGAAGTTGGATTATGAAATAGGGTAGCTGGGGCAGAGGAAAGCCAGTTCCTTTACATTTTTTATAAGTGTTCCATGTTTTTTTTTAATATGCCATAAGCATGTGTGAATGGCAGCCCCAAGACTGTAGGGCTGCTACCTGACACTGTTAACTTGTACTGCACCTTCCCTGTGCGGTACAAGGCTGAAGCTTATTGACACTGCCTACAGCACAGCACGCACTGTGCAGGAGCACCATGTTTGCAGTTGGGAGAAAAGATGCTCGATCCCCCTTCCGAGGAATAATTTATTTACAACTGGGAAAAAAAAAAAAAAAAAAGCTACCGTAGGAAATGCTGCAGCCTCTTTCTGCAAGCACACATCTGATATGTACAGGCAGAAACGTGCTGTTTTTTAGGAGGATAAAAACGATGTACATTGCACAGTGTTTCAGAAGAAGCTGGGTCCCCTCGTTATAACGAGGATGCATATATCAGCAATTCAGTTCTCGTTCTGTTTATTTTAATTTTTAATTTTTATTTTTTTTTCCCATCTCTCCAGCATTTCAGCCCATCCATGCTCTCTTCCCTCTCAGCAAAAATCGCCTCACCTGTGGTTGTGTGCTGTGTATCCCCCAGGATGTGATTTCGGTGCTGTTTCTAGCTCTGGTTTCCAGTGCAAATTAGCACAGTAGGGAGGCTCCTGCTCACGGTGGATTTTACTTGCTTGGCGTTAGGCTGGAAGGAATTAACCGCCTGGGCTGCAGCATCCTCCCGGAGCCCCGTGGTGGGCTGGCAGAGGTAGCAGCAAGCAAGGATTAGGAGGTGCAGCCCCTGGGAGGGGGCGCGGGCAGGGTTGGCGGCGTGTCCGACCCCCTGGTGCCGCGCTGGGCCTGGTGCCTGCTTTGGCACTGGGCCTGGGAAGCAGAGTCCTGCTGTGCCCACAGCGCTCCGAGTGCAGGGCTCTGCCTGGGCACGATGTGCCAGCTCTCCAGATGGCACCGGCGCTGATTTTTGGGTGGGCTTGTTGCCTCCTGACTTGGTGAGGCTGAGGCTGGCGCGTCCAAAAGCTGCGATCGTAAGGGAGGCTGCAGCCGGGTGTCGTGCGGGTACACGGGAACCACGTCCCTGATTTTGGGGGGTGTCATCGTGCTTCGACAGGCAATCTCCGTCTGTGCTCCCAGGGGTGCCTTCGCTGGTTTTGTGCCTTCCTTCCAAATGGCACAGACAGCTCACCCACCCGGCTCGGAGCCGTGCTGCTGGCACCATGCGCTCCCGGCACCCCTGCAGGCGCTGCGATGTGCCCCTCAGCACCGTGCCAGGCCTCTCAAACCCAGATGTGGCAGGGCTGGGACAAGGCTCATTCCTGCAGCTGGGGGACTTGTACGAAATCATCCCAACCCCTGTTAATCAGCTGCAGTTAAACATGGGGATTCCTGCCCAGGGCTCCATAAAGACCCAGCGTTGACCCCAGGTCCCTGGGTTTCCCTGGAAGTCACGGGTTTTGCTGCAGTCCTGTTGCAAGGAGCTGGTGGTGCTGGGGACAGTCCTGGCAAGAGGTTTCGAAGTTGATGGCAACACTTCTGTGCTCCTCTGGCAGCCGGCTGAGCCCAAATTCCTTGACTGCTGAGCTCTCCAGCGCTGCTCCTTGGTAATCAAGTTGGCTGTTATGAGCGAGGTTTGTGCACTCGTATGGCACTGCGTATGCAGGCAACAAAGGGAAGAAGATTGCTTCTGAAATTATGAATACGTCTGAGACGCTTCGTCTCCTCCGAAGCCAGACAGAAGCAGCGTTACCGAGTTAGCAGGAATTGTTGCTGGGAGTTGGGGGTGAAATTGCACGGTGGCGGTGGGAGAAGATGTGAGTTACAGGATGTTCCCGGGGATGCAGAGCAGCTTTCCAGACAGCTGAAGCCAGGGAATTTTATTCTCACCTACTTTATTTGCCTCTTGCTCTGTCTCTTAGTCGCTGCAGCGCCTCGAAGCTTTTAGGGGTTCTCAGTCACAACAAGAGAAAAGGATTTGGGAAGGGATCGGGGAGCAGAGCGCTCCATGGCCCCACACATTGCGCACGGTGAGGCCACCAAAGGGCGCACGGGGCTGGCCCGGGGGGACCAGTGCGAGCGGGCTGGGGCTGGCCAGGCAGCTCTGGGAGAGGTGGCTTCATTCCCAAATGACACTGGGGCTGGTGCTGGGGGGGACTTGGAGAGGGTGGGACAAAATCACAGGGAAGCCAAATTCTCCGCTGTGCTCTCCGTAGAGCGCTGCTGCGGTGCTGCAGGCTGAGGGCTCTGTCTCTGGGAGGCAGCTGCTGGCAGGCGTGAGGATCTGTAAATCTCCGTGCTCGGATCTCATTCCGTGGGCTGTTGATCTCTCTGTATCACCGGACGTGTGGACTTTTTTTTTTTTTTTTTTTTTTTTTTTACAAGATAATTGTGTCCTGTTTATGCAGCTCTGCTGGGAAGTAGGGGAAATTCTGGCCACTATGCATCCTGGGGCAAACTGATATTCTTAAGGGACTGTAAACACACCCGTAACGGCTCCGGGTTTGAAGATCTGCCCAAAAAGCTGGGAGGGCCAGGGGCTGGCAGTGGTCCTGCTGTCCTGGATGGCGCAGAGGTTGGGCACGGAGCTCCACAGAGCTTTGGTGTGCCCCAGGGCGAGCTCTCCGGGTGCTCTGAGCATTGCAGGAGCACGCTGCAGGAGTCCTGAACCACGAGGTGCTGTTGTTTGAAACCGAATGAAGATGCTAAGATTTGGGGAAGAAAATGAGAACTAGTTCAGGTTGGAAGGGGTGGCAGGAGCTCTGCGCCCCAGCCCGCTGCCAGGGGATGAAGGCTGAGGTTGGATCAGGTTGCTCAGGACCGATCCAGCCGAGTTTTGGAACCCTCCCAGGACGGAGCTTTCTCAGCCTCCCTGCCTGCCCATCGCAGTGCTTAATCACTCCGCGGGCGAATATTTTTTCTTTATATCTAGTCAGAATTTCCCTTGCTGCGTCTCGAGACTGCTCCCTCCCGTCCTTTCCGCACGCGGAGAGGAGTCTGGCTGCCTCTCGCCCCGCCGGGGAGCTGAAGGCAGCAATTAGCTCCTTCCCTCACCTCTCCTCTGCAGGCTCCGCGGTCCCACCGCCCCCAGCCTCTCCTCGTCTGGCGGTTGTGGTATTTTTGGCACCGAGAAGTGGGGCTTCGCTTCAGCCATGGTACAGGGAACTGAGCAGCAGCCCGGCGAGGAATAGCAGCACGCTGGTGGGGGAGTTTAACCAAGGCTTCTTGGATGCAGAGCGAGAAAACCTCCCAGACGGGTTTGAAAATGTAATTCCTGAGCAATCGATGCGTGGTCTCCCGGGGGGCCGCCAGGCGTTGACAAACAGCTCGTGCTGGGTGTGTGTTTGTCGCCTGATGCCCAGACACGAGCAGAGCTGTGGAAGGGCTCGGTCGGGCTGCTGGGACCATGAAAACCTCCCCGTTTAACAGCCGGGTTGCTCGGCGATGGTCTCCATGGCAGGTCTCGGGAACAAGCGCCGGGTGCAAGTTCCACCTGCAGCTTGTGTGTTGCCAGGCTGAACCCCCCTGGGGGAGGGCAAGGAGCCAAAAGCGATATTTTTTCCAAATTTCTTTTGGCTTTGCTTTAATAAAAGCCTGTGTTGTTTGTGCACCAGCTTCAGGTGAGGTGATTCTGGGGAGAAGGGCTGGCTGCAGGGGGGATGGAGGGTCCTGCCCGGGGCTTGCCCACCTCTGAGGTCCCTCCTTGGTTCATCTGCTGGTGCTCTTTTGGATTTGGCCCCCAGAAAGGAGCTCTCAGGGGGCTGTGCTGGCGGGTCTGTGTGTCTGTGTGTCTGCCTATGTCTGGTTGTTTGAGCACTGCCTTTGCCATGGCAAAAATCTGCCCCCCGCCAGCCCCAGCTCTCCGCTACCAGGGCTGAGCCCCACTTCTCAGAACCTTCTACCAAAAACAGAGCAGTGCTGGGGCAGGAGGCACCCAGACGGTGTGCTCAGCAGAGTGTTTTTGCATCTGTGCTGGGCACAGCTCCTGCCCTGCTCCTCTGGGAGCTGGGACTGGTGGTGCCAGGCGGTGCGGGCGGCGCTGAGATGTGCCCCCGCAGCGCTGGGTGCGCAGAAAGCCGGAGTGCTGCGGGCTGTGCTGCTGCGAGCTGTCACGGAGGCGACCTGAAAAAAGAGCCTGGCTGGCTCCCTAGGGTTTTGCCTGGGAATCTGGGAGGGATTTGCCCTAAATGGGAGTGGTGGGGATGTCCCACAGGGCTGAGCATGGGGCATCTCCGCAGCCTGCCCCGGCACAGTGAGCGCACGGGGGGTGTTCTCCATCTGGGGTCTGCCTCGTGTCCAGCATCCTGGGGATCCCCCAGCACCTCTTCATGCTTGGGTTGTTCTCCTGTGCACCGCTGGGATGCTCTGCTGGGGGTTGTGCATGGCAAAGCACGATAAGGGGCTGGGATGTGCCCAGCATAGGGGCTGGAGGGGCTCGTTGTGGGCCCCCCTCTCCACCTTGGAGACTGTTGTTGTAAGGAGCTGGTGTGTGTGTTTGTGTGTTTTGCTTGAGCATCTCCTTCCTCCACGGGGCAGGTGATTGCTCTGCCACCCCAGCGGCGTGGCACTGAATGGGCTCCAGCAGAAACGGGTGAGGTGCCCGATACCTTAGATCCCGAGCATCACCGGGCTGTGAGCACGCTGTTGGTCCTGGTGGAGAGGCAGCAGCCCCGGGTCCCAGCTGGTGGCACAGGGAGCTGCCAGCAGTCGTGCCGAGCAGAGGGGTTGTAAACACAGCCTGCGACTGTTGCTGGCTCAAGCCAGGTGGGTTTGGGGCTGCCTGGTTCCTGCCCTCACCCCAGAGATGCTCCGTGGTGGTGCTCGCCATCCCTGCTTGGTCCCCAAGTCCTCATGTCCTGCCCAGGGCTGAGCTCCCGGCTCCCTCCTGCAGGGTTTGGACATGTTTCAGTCTGTGTTTGTGCTCCCCGTCCCTGCAGGTCCTGCTGGGTTCCTCATTCCTGCTCCTCCTGCAGGGCTCCGTGCCCTATATAGGCACCGAGATGTGGATGCAGTGCCAAGCCTAAGGACGCCCACGCTCGAAACGTGCGCTTGGGTTTTTGCCCTGTTTATTTTTGGTCCCTTGTCCCCCGTCAGGGCCCGGCGGGGCGTTGGGGCAGAGCATTGCTGTGGAGGAGGAGGCTGAGCTGCTCGGTGTGGTGCGAGCAAGCAGGACAGACCCTGAGCCTCACCACGGGAGCATCCCTGCGGGTGGCACAAGCTGTCCCCACTGCCAGCCCTATTGCAGGTGGCACAGGGCTGCAGCAAGCAGGGACCCGTGGAGCTGGGGTGCAGCACCGCCTCCCCAGGGCTCAGCAGGGCCACAGGGAACCACTCAGCGCATCAAGGAAGGCAGGGAGACGTGCATTAAGAGCCGCCTCCGCCTCTCAGGGCTGCTTTGCCCAGTGGGCTTGGCACACAGGCGAGCCAAGCATTTCTGCAAGGTCAGGGCTGGCAGCGCCAGCAGATGCTGGGCACCTTCTGCAAGTGGCTCGTAATTCAGTCCCCATCCCAGCCCCCGGGCTCTGAGCACGCTGTGAGCCACGGATCCACCGGGGCTGCTCCGTCCCATCCCGCACGTGTTGGTGGCCAGACGCGTGCCTGCTCCGCTCGCTTCTCCCTTCCTCTTTCTCACTCTTTCTCCCCCTCTTTGCTTTCCTTTTTCGTCTCCTCCCATCTGTCCTTCTCACATCGGGCTATTTTTGTGGATTGGTTTCTCACTGTCAGTATGGTAAGAACCGTGGTGCATCTCCTGTCTCAGAGCATGCACGGCGCTTTGGGAAGCCTTCCCCAGCGGTTACCTCGCGTGGTTCGCTTTAGTCCCCCTGCCTTGCCCCGTCCCCTCCCCAGGAGGACAGCCCTGTCCAGGCTGGGAGTTTCCTTAGCCCCTGACCTCGAGATGCCTCCGAGCCTGGCAGGTGATAACTGAGCAGCCTGAATCTGAGCGCGGTGCTGGTGCCCTGGGGTCATCCAGGTCCCCCTAGTCGAGGCAGGGACTCTTTGCTTGGCAATGATGGGAAATTCACAACCAGAAGTGAACTTGCAATACCCATCGTTTAGCAAAATACCTCCCAGAAAGCTGCAAGATGGCAGAGGATGCGCTGGGAACTGGCTGGGGGGGAAGAGACCTGAGCGAGCTGAGCGCAGGCACCGCGTGCGCCCGGCAAAGCTGCGCCTTTCCCCCATCTCCTCCATCTTCAAGCACCGTACACACAATGTAGGTATTTATCCCCAAATTACCTGCGTGAGGCAGGGGACCCGAATGCCTCCACGCTCCCTGGAGGTGCCGCAGCCTCGGGTGTGCAGCTGGAGCAGGACAGTGCCGAGCAGCTGCGGTGCGGCGTGGGCAGGCGGGTGCCTGCTCGCTCCTGTACACAAGCACGGTTCCTCGCTTGCCTTTGTTCTAATAATAAACGTGCCGCTGTCTCTTCCCCTCCCAAAGCCCTGCCCTCTGCGAGGGGCTGCAGCTCCAGGAGCAGATGACAGAGCTGTCTGCGGCAGCAAAGTTCCTTTCTTTGCTCTGCCTCTGCTCTCTGCTGGCACTGCAGGGAGCCGGGGCTGAGCACCCTGCTACCCGGCCAGGGATTGTCGGGTTATGGGTAGGAGGGGTGCAGCGATGCTCAGGAAGGCTGATCTGGAGGAAATAAACAGGTGAACTCAAAGCAGGCTGTTTAAAAACCATTAAAACCTATTAAAACACAGCCTGCAGAAGCAGTGCTGTGCCCTGTGGGTCCCCCTGTCCATCCTCCCTGCAGAAAGTGGGCCCGGCCCTCCTGCAGTGAGCTGAGCCCGCCAACTTTTTGTTAAGTTTTTGGTGTCTGGAAAACAACCCTTTTTCAGGTGAGAATTGGAGTGGGGTTTAGTTTTCCTTAAAAATTATTTTCTGTATTTTCTCAGCAATTAGAGGGGTTTTGTGAATTCAGCTGCCTGGGGGGAAGAGGGAAAGTTTCAGCACAACACCTCGGGGTTGTCTCTTCCCTCTGTGAGCCGGGCAGGTGCTGCTCGGGAGCCTTCGTCCCCTGCCATGGGGAGCGGGGTCTGGAGCAACCCCCCCTTTGTGCCAGCTTCTCACCGTCCAGCTGCCAGCTGCTGGCGAAAGGAGAATTAGGAGAAAATCAATTAATTTGCTGTTTCTTGCCCGCAATGTGGCTGCGAGGCATGGACACATCCTGTGCAAAACCCAACGTGTGCCAGGGGGCTGGAGCAGCCCCTGCTGCTGCGTTAATCCGATTTTATGCGAGGGGAGCGGGGCTGGCTGGGCGCCTTCCTGCGCTCTCCTCGCCTCCGCTCTGCAGCTGGAGGAGCTCGGGGATGTTTGTCCCCAAAGCTGGGGTCCATCAGTGCTGGGATGGGTGTGGGTGAGAAGCTGCAGGGCAGGGAGTGGGGCTGTGGAGGGCCAGGTCTGCATCCTGGGGGCATGGGGGGGCTGCTCTGCTCTTGCTGTGTCTGGTGAGGGAGGGCTCCAGCCTCACACCTCAGCTTCTCGCTGTGCCTGCTCGGACATCCTCAAACCCTCTCGGGGCAGCGGTCGCACAGATAACAAAGGCAGAACAGCAAACTCAATATATGGCAGGGAGGCTTCTCTGTTAGCTGGATAGCCGGGGAGTGAATTAGCTAGTCTGTTGGGCTCGCATTTTAATTGAAATGAGGATTTATTGCTTTTATATTGTTTGGACTATACTAGAGCGCTGTGGGCTCATAAAGCGTGAGGCGAAATGAAAGAAAACCTCCCCAGGCTGGATTTGCCCCTTTTTCTTTGCTGGTATCGCCTACTTGTCCTGATCGGGTTAAACAAGGCTGCCTCCCCCAAAAGGCAGGAGGGCACTGGCTGTGTGGGGGCTCCCACGGGGTCGCATCCATCCCCTATTGAAAGGGGATCAGTTTTGGCACAGCGGATTCTTTCCTTCGCAGCTGTATTGCCCAGCACCGTGCTGCTGTCTGTTATTTTGGTCCAGGGAAGGGTTCTTGCCATGGATGGCAGCGGGGCAGTGCTGTGTGGGGCTGTGGGGCTGCTCCCCAGCTTGGGGGGGAATTTCCTTCAGCTGAGGTGGGCTCTGCTGGGACCCTCAGGGACATCGCACGGCGTGAAGCTGGAACCTTCTGCAGCGCCCCATGCTCCTGCCCATCTTTATGCTCTCTCCCACCACACCATCCACACCCCATGTCACCTTCATCTTTCCTTTGTGTTCTTTTATTTTCGTTTATTTTCCTTTTTATCATCACCAACCGTGAGCACAAGCTCAGCTCTCTGAAGGTGCGCAGGGATCCCACGGTGCCAGGCGCCCGGCAGCACCCCGAGCGGCACCTTCCCGAATGGAAAATCTTTGCACAAAGTGTGAAATTGATTCGAGGCAGAGCAGAGGCTCATCAAAGAAAACCCCAAAGAGCACACTTAAAGGTTTTTATTTGCGGAGCTGAGCCCGAGGAAGAGCCAGGCACCCACAAAGCCACCCGAGCATCCCCGGGTGCCCGAGGTGGGACCCTGGGGTGACCCCGAGCAGTCCCAGGACTCGGTGCCAGCTTTCCCTGGCGCTGCCTGGCCACCGTGCCATTTGTTGGACACTGACCTCGCCCCTTGTGATGCTCTCACCCCGTAGGCCCCACGCCGAGGATTTCAGCGTGGATTCCTCCTTCTCACAGTAAGTGCCGTGCATGCCTGCATGTCGTGTCGGGAGCGGCGCGAGCAGGACGTGCTGCCACGAGCGGTGCTCGGGGTGCTCCGGGCTGCCCCAGCTCCTTCCTTGGCTGCTCTTGGCACCGAGGGTCGTGGGCAGCGCCTGCAGAGCTTCCTGAAACCGAAATGGGTCCCACCACGGGGAGCAATATCTGCTCGGCTCCTTCCTGGGGAAGGAGTGATATCTTGGCAGCAAACTGGTGATTGCCCATTAGCGATGAGCTCCGTGCGCAGACTCTAATTAAACAATCCAGATTCATCAGCAGAAGCAATTATCGGAGCAGATTCCTGAGTGTCAATCTCCAATGTTGCAAAACAAATAGGGCAAACAAAGCGCAGCATGTTGTTCTGTTGCATCTTCTCTTTCTGAATTTTCATATTTTATTTTATTTTTTATTATTGAGAGCAACTGTGTGGCTGCGGGGCAGTGCGGGGCTGGGTTCCCCGTGTGGTCGATGCAGGGACGAGTGTGTCCCTGCCTGGGCTCGTGCTGCCCACGTGTGAGGAGGAAAATCCCTTCCTCACCACCTGCAGCTATCACACCTCGAGGCTGCAAACTCGGCCTGAGGCTGAGCGCCACAGGTGCTGCATGGAGCTGGAGAGGAACCGCAGCATCCTCCAGGGCACGACGAGCCGGTCAGCTCCTGCAGCACAAAGCTCCCACTTCCCCAGCAGCCTCCCCAGTGAACGACAGGGAGGAAAATAAGTTCAGCAGCAGATTTCTGCTCTATTGGTACAGATTTTCCTGCAGCATGGGCAGGGCCTGAGCCATTCTGCCTGGTGGCACGGAGACATTTGCGGAGCTGGTGAATGGGGCAGTGATGGGTGGCTGGGAGGACCAGCCCCACGAGGCGCAGCTGCCCTTGCTGGTGGGCAGCCCCTTTCCAAAAGCAGCTGCTTGGAGCCTGCTTTTTACCAGAATCTTAAAAAATCTCTAGTGTTCCCTGTTGGAGCCAGGGTGGCATTACCCGAGCTGTGTTTAATTTGCCGCCGAGAGGTTGGCAATATCGCCTCATTCCCTTGGGCACAAGGCACAAATCTGTAATAATACAGGAGATACCTTGTTGGTTTTTTTCCTCGGTTTATTCCCATGGTAAACGGAGAAAATTCTGAGGAAGCCACTGAGCAATAGAGCCCACAGGGCTCAGTTTCGAAGCCGCTGCCTTGCCTGCTCCCGGGGCTGAGCCGTGCGGGCGGTGCGGAGCCGCGACACCCCCTCCTCCCAGCAATTGTTCAATTAGTGCTGACAGAGCGCGGGGGCAGCCTGCGGCGCGCGTCTCGCTCTGGCAGGCGCCCAGGTGCTGTAATTGCACCTGATGCATGCACCCGACGTGCACGCAGACGTGCGCCCATCTCCCCTCCACTGTCCCCAGCAGCTCCCTGTGGTGGCTCCCGGTGTCCCCACGTGTGCTGGTCACCTCCTCCCTCATCCTGAGACATTCCCTGGGTGTATGGTGCTCCCCAGCCAGCTGTAGGAGCAGGGATTGGAGATGCAGAGAGCTGCTGATACCTCTTCCTCTCTTTCAAGAGCCACGTTTATTCCACATTCACTGCGAAATATTTTCATCCTCATGAAACAGAGCCAAAGCATCCCATGCACGTAAACCCCTCCTCGGGGAGCAGCGGCGAGATTTTGGGCAGCACCCAGGCGGTGCTGGGCGCTGGGTCCCTGCTGGGTGCTGCTCCCGGAGCCGTCTCAGTTTTCAGGCAGCTGTCAGCCCCGGGGCCGGAGAGGAGCCACTGCACCCACTGTGCCCCCCCGGGCCTCATGGGGACGAGGAGCTCGGGGTACGGCCGCGGCCCCCCAGGGTGAGCCCCGGCGTGGAGCCGCGCTTGTCGCCGTCACGGGTGGGTTGGTGGTGGGGTAGGGGGTGCGTGGGGCCTGGGAGGGGGGTGTGGGTGGGGGCTGGCAGCTGGCCGGGCTCCTCCTCGCCTGTTGTAACACCGTTGAACAGGGCTGTGCCCGTTTCGGTCTCGTACCCTGCGCTTTTCAGAAGAAATTATTGTGTCTTTTTTTTTTTTCAGGAGCTCATCGCCTTAGAACAAATTGTCTCTAATCTTAGATTAATAAAGCACAGTAAATAACCGGGCGAAGAAAATGAAATTGCTCAGGCATTATGGAGTGCATAATAGCAGTAATTACACTGCCAAGCGAGGGCTTGTAACCAAACTTGTACCTCGATGCTTATCGGGGCGGCTGGCGGGGCTGAGCTGCTGCCGCCCCCCCAGGGCATGGCCCTGCAGAGCTGCCGGGTGCTGGGAGGGCAGGATCTGGTGCAAACCCTGCAGATGGGGGTCCTGGGGGGCTGGGGCTCCTCACTGGGTGCTGTGGGCATGAGGGCTCTGGGGAGAGTGGCTTGGGTGAGCCGGGCAGTGGGGACGCTGAATTGGGGCTGCGAGCGGTGTGGTAGCGCAGCCGGGGTGTGCCCTGGGCACGCTGAATTTTATTTTAAGCTGAATTCTTGATAGTGAAATTAGAGGATGTGCTCTAAAAGATCTGATCTATTAGGTCCCTATCTGGAAGCGGGATCTGTTGTGCTTTCCTGTGACTGCTGCCCAGTAAAGCCACCACTCGCTCGCCATGGGTGGGACTCAGCCAGTGCCCAGCCCAGCATTTTGGGGTTTTTAACACGGAGAAGGAGCAATTACCTTGGCGGGTGGCATTGCGAGCTGCCTGATTTATGCCCTGGCACAGCCGAATTATTTGCAAAGTCTGGCTTTGGAAAAGGTTAATGTTAACGTGTTTGAGCTGTGCTTGCAAAGTTCCTCGTCCCTCCCTGCCAGCCCCTGAGGTTCTGCTGCCATCCCATCCCGGCCGTGCGGGGTGCAGGCGTTGGGGTTTGCGTTGCTTTGGGGCCAGAGGGACACATTTGGCAACTGAAAGTTTGATAACTCTTATAAAACATTATCCCAACTATCATGCCTGAGGCGATGGTTTTCTCTCCATGTACATAAGAAGCTTGTAAAGTACAAGCCTGCCTCTCCAACCTGACGAGCAGCTCTCGAAGGGATGCCACGTTCCTGCGGGCACAGCTGGGTGCTAAATGCCGGCATCACAGCACAGGGTCCAAATATTGGGGGCTCCTGAGCCTTCCCCAGCTCCCTGCCCGCCCAGCTCGGTGTTCACACACGGTGAAGGTTTGTTTTCCCGTCTACCACATGATCCTGGCAGCTGCTGCCCCATAAATCACGTCCTCGGGGCCGTGTTTGGCTGCAGCCCGTGCCACGTGGGCACAGGGACTGCGGAGGTGGAAGGCACGGGGCGGGGGACTCGGGGGCTGACACCGTGGTTTGGTGCCCGTGGTCTGCGCCTCGCCTGGCAATGCGCCTTGGTGACCTCCAAGCAGTTAAAAAATAGTAATTATAGCAGCGTTTCAGGGGCTTAGCAAATAGAGTGAGAGAGGGGAAATTGCTAAATCTTGGCACTTGACCCCGTTATTAGCGGTGGCACTGAAGAATGGGCCCTGTCCTGCCAGGAACCTAAAGCAGAGCATCGGGCTGCACTGAGCAGGCAGTGTGCCTTATAGCCCTGCCCACGGGAACGATTTGGGGCTGGATTCTGGTTTTGGGTGTACAAGATGGAGCTGGAGGGGGGGATGTGTCTGGGATGGGAGCGGCCGTGCCCAGTGGGGCCGGGACGAGCGGGGTTGGCTTGGTCCCTCGTTCCTCCTGGCTCCGACCCTGTCTGGTGGCTGTCCCTCACCTCACCCCAGTGCCACCAGCCACCGAGGGATGCTCAGGGCTGGCTGGCAGCTCCTGGCTTCTTCTGGAACGGCCAAATGCGGTTTCTTAGCAACAGGGGGAATTTTCCTCCTTTTCGATCAGATTTGGTTCTTAACAGCTTCGCTGCCGAGTGTTGCTCCGGCACGGGTAAGGCCGGGGTGTGGGACATGGCCCTGGCTGGCTGCAGCCCTGCAAGGGGGACGGAGCTGGGGGGATACAGCCAGGGGGGGAGCAGCATCCCAGGGGGTGCAGAGAGCTGCACGGTGCACGTTAGGGGAGGTGTTCGCCCCCCAGGCTCCAGCTTGGTGTACCTGAATGAGAGCAGAGCCCTTCACCCAAGCTGGAGCCATGCCATGGGGCACTGGGATGCCACCAGTGGGTGCTGGGTTGCCCTGGGGGCAATGGGGCTGCTGGGGATGGCTCCGGGGAGACTCAGCTTGCAGGGGCCAGGGCTGGGTGCCGGGGTCCTGCCCATGCCCCCCGCACTGACCGTCCCCATGGGTGCTGTCCCCGCAGGGTGCAGGTGGAGTTCTACGTGAATGAGAACACCTTCAAGGAGCGCCTGAAGCTCTTCTTCATCAAAAACCAGCGGTCGAGTGAGTGCTCCCTGCCCGTGTGGTGGTGGGGATGAGAAGCCATTGCCATCTGCTGGCAGCCGGCCCCATCCAGCCCTGGTGCTGAGCCAGGATTTGGTGCCCAGCCTGGGGCTGCCGCCACCCCCTGCCCTGTCCCCAGCTGGAGTTGGGCACCCCCACGGCCCCTCAAAACCCCTCACCCTCCCTTCGGCCCCGCAGATGAGCTGCCCCTTGACTAATGCTGTTGGAAGCTGTTTTCTCATCAGCTGTCCGGAGGGAGCCCGCTCGTTAATTCATAAGCCCACATTTTCCTTTCCTCCCTGCATCCTGCCGGCTCGTTAAAATGCTGGAGCGTGGCACAACAGGGTGCCCACGGGGAAGTTTTTAATGAAAATGTGATGAATTCCTCACTTGCACTTTGAGTAATAACCCGATCAACTGGCTGGGGAGGGAGAGCGGATGGAGAGGATTTGCTCGGCGCCCCTCCTGCACGCTGCCCGCAGCCCAGCGAGGGGGCTCTGCCCATCCCATGCTCTTCTGTGTCTGCTCCTTCTCTGCACCTGCTGTGCTGTGGGGCTGTGCCATGGGGCCATGCCATGGGGCTGTGCCATGGGGCGCTGCCTTGCCCACACTGTGCCCCCTGTGCCACAGGTCTGAGGATTCGCCTCTTCAATTTCTCGCTGAAGCTGCTCACCTGCCTGCTCTACATCGTCCGCGTCCTGCTCGACAACCCGGAGGAGGGCATAGGCTGGTGAGTGCCACCCCACCTGTGGCCAGGGCTCTGAAACCGGGGGCGCACAGCCCAGGCACACGCTCAGCGCATTGCCAGGCAGGTGTTTTCTGGATACCGACGCCCTTGAAGACACACACGTCTGCTAAATCCCATTTAAGTGTTAGGGAATGAAATGCGTTTTGCCATTCAGATCCCCGAGGTGACAGATGATTCCATCTAGCGGCTCTGCTCCGGGTTTCGGCAGAGCCCTGTTTTTAATATGTCCTTGCTTTGTTTACCTCACATGCAGATTTTTATTTTTATTTTTTTTCAAAGGGCTAGGGCGCTCTATGAGAATTAGCAGTTTGATTTTCTCTGTGTAAAGGTTGCAGACGGCCAAGGACATTTGCACTGCCCAAAAGTGGTTGCGACTCTGTGAGAATTAAGAGCGACATGGCAGGCAGCCTGGTGAGGTTTAATGCAGCTGCAATTTGGGGACACCCCCCCATTAGCTGGGGGACATCAGCCCCTTTGGGTGTGCACATGGTAAAGCAGATGCTGGCCTGTGGGAGCGCATCCCTTGCCAGCAGGCAGGGTGACTGAAGTGTTTAATACTGCTGGGGTGAGTTAGGGTCCTGTAGAAACCACCAGGATGGGCACCAGCACGAGCCTGACCCCATAGGATGTCGTCCAAGGGCCTCTCCCAGTGTCAGGACAGATTGGAGATGGCATCCCCTGAGCTGGGGAGCCAAAGCTTGCACCCTTTGTCTGTCCTTCTGTCCCTCCACCGTCCCACTGACTGCTCTCCCCGGGTTTCTGTTTCTGTTCCAGCTGGGAATGCGAAAAGCAGAACTACACAGTCTTCAACCAGTCCACGAAGATAAACTGGTGAGCTGTGGGATGCTCGTGGCGCTGGGTCTGGCTCTGCTGTGACAGCGGGGACACAGCGGTGGGCGCGGAGCCTCCCAGTGAGGAGGGGACTGGAATGGGCTGGGGGCACTGGTGGGACAGGAGCTGAGCTGGGTGGGCTCACGGGAGCTCGGGGACTGTCAGTCCCAGCTTCAGGCTCTGCATGGAGCAATGCCAGTAACGAGCCCGCCTTGGATGAAGTCAGAGATGGCCTCGGGCTGGCAGGCAGTGAGGAGTAAAGGCGCTGCTAATTAGGCTACGGTTCGGATCCATCTGCTGTGTTCTTTGCAGGTCACATATCTTCTGGGTGGATAGAAAGCTGCCGCTGTGGGCTGTTCAGGTGAGTTCCCGGCCACGTGGAGGTAACGGTGCTGGGTGCCCCCCAACGCACCAGACGGGTGCAGGAAAACCGAGCGGGGAGGCTGAGGCTGAGGTGTGCAGGAGCACACCCCGAGCAGTGCCTGCTGTCTGTCTCCACAGGTCAGCATAGCTCTGATCAGCTTCCTGGAGACCATGCTGCTCATCTATCTCAGCTACAAGGTGAGCACCACGCCAGGAGGCTGCGCTCACTGTGGCCACTTGTCCTCCGTGCGTCTGTCCCGCTGCTGCCAGCGGGCACTGCCCCAGGGGATGGGGGTGTGCTGGCTCCCTGAGCTGGCCAAAGGCTGGGACTTTAGCAAACGGCAGCTCCTCACAGTCCTTGGGAGGGTTTTTGCATGTTTTGTGTGGCTGGTGGAGATATTCCTCTGGCTTGGGCCCATCGGTGGCTGATTCTCATCCCTGGGGGCAGAAAAGGTTCAGCCCCAGCATCCCCCACATTGTTCGAATCAGAGGTTTGTGTTTGTTGCTGCCTCAGTCCTTATACGAAGCGTTGCTGTCCCCAGCTTTTGTCAGGGACAGCCACAGACAAAGGTGCCACCCATCTGGGAAAAAAATGGGCGTTTTGGGAAGTTTTGTCTGGCACCAGTGCCGTGACTGCCAAGCAAAGCGCGGCATCATCCTGCCTGCGCTAGCATCCTTCGCATGTCTAGCAGGGGCCGGGGCACTGGGAGCGTCTTAATTGGCCTTTGGCATGCTTACAAGCTTTTTAATTAATTGTTGTTACTTTTAATTCCTCAGGGGAACATCTGGGAACAGATTTTCCGCATTTCGTTCATCCTGGAGATGATCAACACAGTGCCCTTCATTATCACGGTGTGTATTCCCCGGGGTCGCTTAAAACAACTTTAAGTTTAATACAGACTGCGGTTTTGGTGGTGAAATATAGAAAAGCAGGTGTCTGGCCAAGCAGTATTTACAGCTGGCAGTTATTTTTGGTAAAGAACTCCATTGCTCTGAGTCCTTTGCAAGTCAGCCTGTGAGAAACTCTTGCTTTTCTAGATATTCTGGCCTCCTCTGCGGAATTTGTTCATCCCCGTTTTTCTGAACTGCTGGCTTGCCAAGTACGCCCTGGAAAACATGATAGTAAGTGACCAGACACATCCCTCCCGGGCATCCCAGCTCCTCTGCCATGGGAACTAAAAGGCTGCTGTGCCACAACCTGGCACTGAGGTGCCTGAGGGCAGATTTTGGGCAGGTTTTCAGGTGCTGGGATGAAGTTTATGGGGTTGAGGCTTGGCTGGCTGCCTCCTGGTGAGGCTGGGCTGCGGGTCGGGTCCCTTTGGTGTGTGAGCAGGGGATGCCCACCCGCTCCACGTGCCCCTGGTCCCATGGCACAGCTCAGCCCTGGGCTGACCATCGCGGCTCTGTGCAGAAATGCCCGACCTTGCCAAGGGTTTCACGTTTCTGGAGCCTGCGGGCAGCTGCAGGGGCTGTGGCTGTGCTGCTGCTGAGGCTCCTGTCCCGTCCCCAGAACGACCTGCACCGAGCCATCCAGCGGACACAGTCGGCGATGTTCAACCAGGTGCTCATCCTGATCTGCACCCTGCTCTGTCTTGTTTTCACGGGGTGAGTGTCACTGAACCCCCGCCACCACGCCTCTGGGCAGCTCATTTGTAGGCCCAGCTAATTAACAGGGCCTTTACCCCGTGCTCGGCCAACAGCAGGGGCAGGTTTCCGAAAGGAGCCCTGCTCTGGGTGGGTGCTTAGCTCTAAATCAGGCTTCTGGGGCTTTCCTCCCATCCCCTTGGTCTGGATTTGAAGCATATAATGCCAATTCAGTTGCTGAGAGGACAGGAAATGAAGCTTTGGGGCTCGTGAGTCCCTGTCAGTGAAGGCAATCTTCTCAGATTTGTGCTCGAGGGCCCTGTGCTTTCCCCCTGCAGCACCTGCGGCATCCAGCATTTGGAAAGAGCAGGTGAGAAGCTCTCCCTCTTCAAGTCCTTCTACTTCTGCATCGTCACCTTTTCCACGGTGGGCTACGGAGACGTGACACCAAAGATCTGGCCTTCCCAGCTCCTCGTCGTCATCATGATCTGCGTCGCCCTGGTCGTGCTGCCGCTGCAGGTCAGAGCCAGGGCCGGGGAGGCAGGACAGAGACCCTGGGCCGGACACGGGGACATTCCCCACGTCCCCAGGGTCCCTCCAGCTGCCTGCTGCCTTCAGCCACCCCACAGACCGTGTCTGGGAGGCAGCAAAGCACCGCGGCCTGCCTCCCCGCCCTGCTGCTGGGACATCAGCCCCCTGCTTTTGCTTGCAGTTCGAGGAGCTCGTCTACCTGTGGATGGAGCGGCAGAAGTCGGGAGGCAACTACAGCCGTCACCGGGCCCAGACGGAGAAGCACGTCGTGCTGTGTGTCAGCTCCCTCAAAATCGACCTCCTCATGGACTTCCTCAACGAGTTCTACGCCCACCCGCGCCTGCAGGTCAGGGCCGGGCCTGTGCTCGTGCTCACGGCTTCTGTGTTTTGCCCATGCTGGGTTTCAGTGGTTTGGGGCATGGCCAGGCCGCACCAACTGAGCACAACGAGCCTCTCTCTTTCAGGACTACTACGTGGTGATACTGTGCCCCACGGAGATGGACATCCAGGTGCGGCGGGTCCTGCAGATCCCGCTGTGGTCGCAGAGGGTCATCTACCTCCAGGGCTCCGCGCTGAAGGACCAGGACCTCATGAGAGCCAAGTGAGCAGCGGGACGGGGGGGGATTGCAGGCAGCCACTGGGGGGTACAGGGCTGGGGCCAAAACGCTGCTGCTGGGGATGCTCGGCTGCTGCCTGTGCTGTCCACTAATCCCTAAACATGAAATATTCCTTGGGGGGATGCAGGACGGCTGCAAGCACGGTGTAATTCAGCCACACGCGTCCCCAGCAGTGTCACCGGCTGGGTGACGATGGCCACGCTGACATCTCTGCGGGCGCCCCGGGTGGTGCCTGCAGGCTCCCGGCGTGGCCGGGCTGGGTGGTGCACGGGCACTGCTCTCTGTTTGCAGGATGGACAACGGGGAAGCCTGCTTCATACTCAGCAGCCGCAACGAGGTGGACCGCACGGCGGCGGTAAGCTGCTTTGTAGTTTGTCCTAGCCGTGGAAGCGTTGGGGGAAATAAGCAGCCAGGAGCTAGCCCGGGCTTTGCTCTTCTCTTAGGACCACCAGACCATCCTGAGAGCCTGGGCTGTGAAAGATTTTGCTCCAAACTGCCCTCTCTATGTTCAGATCTTAAAGCCGGAGAACAAGTTTCATGTAAAGTTTGCCGGTGAGTCTGCGGGGCTGTCCTCCACAAGCTGGATCTTTTCAGGAGCAGTTGATGTTTCCAGGGGTGATCCCATGTCTTCAGAGCCCGTGAGGGGTGGGTTTGCAGGTCAGGGGTTCAGAGTGGAGGAGGGAGGGAGGTGTATGTAGGGAGTGCCGTGGGTCCCCATCCCGTCTGGAGGGCCAGCATGTTCCCCTGTCCCCTTCCACCACCACAGTGTGCCCTCCAGACCCCAGCACCTCTCTGCCCTCCTTGGCATGTCCCAGGGCACCGTGATTTGCTTGGGTTTGCCACCCCGAAATCTCCAGGCAACAGAAGCAGAGGCACCCGGTGCCCTAGCCCTAACCCCCTAACCCTAACTCTAACCCCCTAACCCTAACCCCCTAGCCCTAGCCCTACCCCTTCTCCTACCCCTACCCCTACCCCTACCCCTAAACTCTTCTTCCTTGCAGATCACGTTGTCTGCGAGGAGGAGTGCAAGTACGCCATGCTGGCTCTCAACTGTGTCTGCCCCGCCACCTCCACGCTCATCACGCTGCTGGTGCACACCTCCCGCGGCCAGTGAGTGCTGTCCACGTAGGGTGGGGGGACTGGGCACCCATGGCACAGGCAGCACCCTGTCTGCGCCCCCGGAGCTCCTGTCCTGGCAAAACACTGCCCGAGTTGCAGCCCGGAGTCTTTTCCTTCCAGCCAGCAATTACTGGTGGGAGGTACTGGGGGCACTGCCTTCAGCGGCAGCCCGGGGCTCACAGCCTGGTTGTTCCCGTGCAGATTGCCTTGCTGGAGGCCAGGAATAAAACATCTTGTTTGTACTGAGCCGATCCTGCTGGCAGGAAGCTTGATTTACCAACCGCGAGGCTGGAGCCTGCAGGTTGTTCTGTGGGGCTGTACAAAGTGCAGCTGGAAGCAGCTAGGTGGGCCCTGGCGCGGGCCCCTTGCCCCTCAGCAGAGCCAGGACTTGCTGTGCTTTGTTAAAATGAAATCACAGCCTTCCAAAACATCCTTCCCAGAGCTTCTCGCCCCATGCTCTGAGCTGTTTGCCAACACTGGCTCTCAGCCCTGCCTCCGCCGCTCCCCTGGGAGCCCTCATTAAATAAAAAGGCACTTAAAGTCGGAGATCTAAATGAGCTCAGCCTCGGCCTGGAAGCGCTGACAGCTCATCACCGCCACCTCCCCGCTGTTGGACCGGGTGGCAGCCTCAGCACCCCTGGGTGCTCTGGCTCTGGCTGTGGCCCCGTCCCGGCACACGGCTCTGTGCTTGCAGGGAGGGCCAGGAGTCCCCAGAGCAGTGGCAGAGGATGTACGGGCGCTGCTCAGGCAATGAGGTCTACCACATCCGCATGGGCGACAGCAAGTTCTTCATGGAGTACGAGGGGAAGAGCTTCACCTACGCCGCCTTCCACGCACACAAGAAGTGAGGACTGGGGGGCAGCTGGGGTCAGGGACAAGGTGCTGGGAGCAGCACTGGGGCTGGAGGGTGCTTTGAGGTCCCTTCTGCAGGGACAAGACCCTTGGAGGGGCTTTTCTCTGGCTTTGAACGCCCGCACCACGCTCCCCTCGCAGGTACGGTGTCTGCCTGATCGGCATCCGCAGGGAGGAGAACAAGAGCATCCTGCTGAACCCCGGCCCGCGGCACATCATGGCCGCGTCCGACACCTGCTTCTACATCAACATCACCAAGGAGGAGAACTCTGCCTTCATCTTCAAGCAGGAGGAGAAGCAGAAGAAGAAGGGCTTTGCGGGCAGGGGCACCTACGACGGCCCATCCCGCCTGCCCGTGCACAGCATCATCGCCAGCATGGGTGAGTCCACGGGGCCCCCTTCTCCACCCCCTCCCAGATCACCCCATCAGCAAAACACACACAGGTCCCTGCTCCTCGTGTCCTGGGTGCTCTCAGCAAGCCCAAAAGTCACCATTAGAGCTCGTGATATCCATTACCATTAAGGATATTTGCAGCAATCCCCCGCGTCCTGGCTGGAAGAATGAATGCTGTTGGCCTCCTCCTAAATCATGTTTATGATTCACAACCAGCGTGGTTTGCTCTGCAGCGAGTGGTGCAGTTTCCCAAATAAAAAACGCCATGAGTCATTGCTCCCAGCCTGCAGCTGGGAAGACCAAGTTGTGGGGTTGTCCGGAGAGGCTGCGCTGCAGTAGCACATTGTACTTCAGGCAAATAATTCATGCATTTATATTCATGAGCAGCAATTTGCATGATTATCCCACAGCAAGCCGCAGAGCACTTTGCTGAGCAGCGCTCGTCAATGTTCTCATTAGGTGGCTTGTTTGGCTTGTTCGCAGAGGGACTTTTTCAGAAAGTGCAATGAGAGCAAAATTGCCCAAGGGCGAGCGGGTCCAGCCCCACGGCTGCTGGGGGAGGAGGGCACCCAGCACCGTGCTTGGCTTGCTGTGGAGCTCCCGGCTTTCACACCCATCTGAAAGTAACTATTTGGTGAAGATTTAGAAGACAGCCTTGGCTGCGGTTTCCAACTGAGGCCAAAACCTTGATGGCCGTGATTAAAACTCCATAAATACATCTGGGTTTTAGGAGGTGCTGGAGCAGGGGGTCATCCAGCTTCTCTGGTCCATGTTGAAGGTCTTGGGCGGGTGCAGGTGCGTGGTCCCCCCAGGGCTGACGGGCTGGATGCTGTGCTGCCTCAGCTCCCTTCCCCTCCTCATAGAGCGCGCTGTGCTTCCCTCCCCGCCGCGTCCAGGTACAGTGGCCATGGACCTGCAGAACACCGAGTGCCGCCCCGCCAACAGCAGCAAGCTGGCGCTGCCGGCGGAGAACGGCTCGGGCACCCGGCGGCCCAGCATCGCGCCCGTCCTCGAGCTGGCCGACACCTCGTCCCTGCTGCCCTGCGACCTGCTCAGCGACCAGTCGGAGGATGAGATGACCCAGTCGGATGAGGAGGGCTCGGCGGTGGTGGAGTGAGTTGCCCGCGTTCGGTCGCGCCGTCCCTCGTTGCAGAGAGGCACGGATGCTTCTTAATTCGTGCCCATCTTTAAGTGAAAATTGCTGCTTCTGGTTAATCAGAAATGCACATTACGATTTCTTAAGAGCTGTTAACCAAAACCAAATCTAAAACTGGGCCCTGAGGTCTTTGCTTCCTTGTATGGCTTAGCGTCCCCCTCCTCTCCTGCAGCTCACTGTCCTGTCTCCCTTGAGCCAGGCTCCTACTTGCTGTGTTCTCTGCCATGTGCTGGGAACGTTGCCTATTTGCAATCTCAGGACCCTTTGCATAACAAAAATCATTCCTAAGTACATGTTTTTTTGGACATTTCTGTCTGATACAGGAGAGTTTTGCAAAACATTTGCCACTGATGTGTTCGAGTCCTGGGTCTGTGACTCTAAAAACGTTTTTCCAAAGGTCTGAGTGCTGTATGCACAGAAACTCTCCCCGTGTCCTTATAGTTCTGCAATTTCTGCTGCAGGTACGTGAAAGGCTACCCACCGAACTCCCCCTACATCGGGAGCTCGCCGACCCTGTGCCACCTTTTACCCGAGAAGGCCCCGTTCTGCTGCCTGAGGCTGGACAAGGTGAGCGGCAGCGCTGGGGCCGAGGCGGGTGATGGCCGGGGGCTGCCACGGGTCCCCGAGCTGCCTCCCCTCCCCGCAGGGCTGCAAGCACAACAGCTTCGAAGACGCCAAGGCCTATGGGTTTAAGAACAAGCTGATCATCGTGTCGGCAGAGACCGCAGGGAACGGGCTGTATAACTTCATCGTCCCCCTTCGTGCGTACTACCGGTCCCGCAAAGAGCTAAACCCGATTGTGTTGCTTCTGGACAACAAGCAAGTACTTCTCCGCAGATGCTTTCCATTGCACCGAGCCCTTCCCTGCATTAATGGGGGCATTTCACACCGCGTGGGGATGGGGCAGTAGGGGAGGGGAAGCAGCGGCACCGCCAGGGTGCCCCTCGGATGGTGGTGGGGACGCGGCTGCGCACAGCTCCATGGAGCTGCTGACCCCTTTGCTTTCTGTTGCTCTCCCTGCAGGCCAGAGCACCACTTTCTGGAAGCCATCTGCTGTTTCCCCATGGTTTACTACATGGAAGGCACGATTGATAAGTAGGTGTTCCTGCCCGTGGCCGTTGTTAATTGCATTGCTGTCTAATGGCACCGCGTTTACCCAGTCCTGACACCTGCATGCTGGGGGGGGAGATGTGCCCCCAGCCCCTCACCCTCCCATCCCGTGGGTCGGCTGCCACAGGGCTGACCCCACCGTGGGCTTTTCGGGTTGTGGAGCGAGGCTGGTAGCTGGGTGCTGGTGGCGAGGAGGCGGCTGGGTGCGCGTCGCAGCGCGCTGCCTCCCTGTGTCCTTCCCAAGGGCTGACCCCGCGCTCTTCTCTTTGGGGACTGCCCAGCCTGGACAGCTTGCTGCAGTGCGGCATCATCTACGCCGACAACCTGGTGGTGGTGGACAAGGAGAGCACGATGAGCGCGGAGGAGGACTACATGGCCGATGCCAAGACGATCGTCAACGTCCAGACCATGTTCAGGTGAGGGGAAGGCAGACACAGCCCAGGGGGTGCAGGTGCTGCGGGGAGAGGTCACAGCAGCACTGGGAAGACACAAATCTATCCCACTAGGTCTGATCTCAGGAGGGCACGGGGGAGGTTTGGGTTTTCCTCGGGCTGTGCACACAGGCAGTCCCTCGCTTCTGAGGTGGCTGCTGGACCACAGGTCTCTTCCCATCGCAGGCTCTTCCCCAGCCTCAGCATCATCACGGAGCTGACCCACCCGTCCAACATGAGGTTCATGCAGTTCAGAGCGAAGGACAGTTACTCCTTAGCCCTTTCCAAGCTGGAAAAGGTAAGGGAAAGCTTTCGCTCCCTGGGAAGGCAGTGCTGGGCGCAGGGACGCTGAGCAGTGGCCTCTGGGCTCCTCCTTCAGCCCAGTGACTGTGCTGAGGGCTTCTGGCAAGGGGGAAATTCCCCTAAACCGCACCCCGAGGCACCTGAAAGCACCACATCCAGCCTGTGTCCAAAAAAAAACAAACCGATGATGATGTCTCACACGTTTCCATGGAGAAAATCCCTCTTTCACCCAGCGTGAGGGATGCTTCCCCGCCTCCCTGCTGGCACCCCCAGAGCCACTCAGCTGGTGCCCTCCCATTCGCACCGCGCGTGGGGGAGGCCGTGGGGTTTTGCTTTGCTTAATACCCCGGGAGGATGGGAACAAAATCCCACCAAGGGTGCTCCCCAGACCCTTTCTGCTTCCAGAAAGAGCGTGAGAACGGCTCCAACCTGGCCTTCATGTTCCGCCTGCCCTTCGCGGCCGGCCGGGTCTTCAGCATCAGCATGCTGGACACGCTGCTCTACCAGGTGAGCGCTGCGGGAGCCCGGCGACGAGGGACAGCGCGTCCCCCAAAGTGCCCCTGCAAACTTTTTCCCCGTCTTCCTGCCCAAACGTCTCCCCGCAGTCGTTCGTGAAGGACTACATGATCACCATCACCAGGCTGCTGCTGGGCCTCGACACCACGCCGGGCTCCGGATACCTCTGCGCGGTAGGCACCAAGGCTGCATGCAGTGGGGGCTGTGAGAACGTGGATATAGGGGGGTCCCCTTCTGGGACAGCAGGGAGAGAGGCAAAATTGAGCAGAATGGGGCAGCTCATCACTCCTGGCATCATGTGTGGGCAATCTCAGGGCTCCCAGAGCCCCAAAATCACCTCTGAGCCGTGTCCCAAGCCCCACAGCCGTACGTCCTCCTTTCGGACGGGAGCTGCCCCTGATGTTTTTGGGGCTTCCTTTCGGGTCTGGCTTCCTTCAAGGGAAGCCCAGAGGTGGCCCCAGGCGCTGATGCCGGTCGCTGTTTGTGCTCTGCTGCTCAGATGAAGATCACGGAGGACGACCTGTGGATCCGGACGTACGGCCGCCTCTTCCAGAAGCTCTGCTCCTCCAGCGCGGAGATTCCCATCGGCATCTACCGCACGGAGTCCCACATGTTCGCCACCTCCGAGGCAAGGGGCAGTGGGCGCAGGAAGGGGCTGGGGGTGTTTCCATCCCCATCCACAACTCGGGGGCATTTCCTGGCTCCTGGGGCCAGCTCGGTGCAAATGCTCATAGCTGGGAGAGATGCTCCTCAAAGAGGTGCCTGCAGGCAAGCAGGGATTGCTTTATCAGCAATCCAGCACATCACGTCATTAAATTCCCAGGAGCCAGGGGATGCTGCACAGCAGGGATTCACATTTCCTGTGCTGACCCATCTTTCCCCTCTTTTTTCCCCAATTGTAGCCCCACGACATCAGAGCGCAGGTGAGTACCATTTGCTCCCAGTCTTCGGGCATTAGGTTGGTGGTGGGGAATTCCCTTGGGATTATCAGCTCTGCCAGACCCCCCCCAACACGGGCACTGCTCCGTGGGTGGTTTTGGGGCTGGTTTGTGTGCACCTGGAGCCCCCCCTCGCCTTGAGCCCCTCCTGCAGCTCCGGCACGGCCCCGGCAGCCGGGAGGTGTAATTACGCAGCACGGGGAGCAGGAGCGAGCCTGGCCCCGCTGTGAATACCTTTGGTTTTGAGCTTTGTAGAAGCAGCTGCAGGGAGCTGAACGCTGACATTTAATTAAATGCGATCCTGTTCGTTCTTAGAGGTGCTTTAATCCACTTTATTCGAAAATTAGTGCTTACCAGCAGGGCTTTCTGTGTCAGATGTGGCAGTGCATCTGCTGCAAGATGCCGGAGAGGAAGACAAGGACAATTCTGCCACTTGGGCAGCCAAGGGAGAATTGTGCTAGCAGATACCAGGCACCCGTTATGCCCCATGGCCAATGGTGCTCTGGAGAGCTTACCCCAAACCTGCTGCCCAGGCAGCTTTAGCAGCACGGAGATGATGTGCTGGAGGAGCATGGAGGTGGGATCCCAGCCCGCCGGAGATGTCCTACCCTGTCGGAGACAGGACTGGCTCTTCTTACATGGCCAGGGTGCTACAAAGCAGCCGTTCCCGAGGCAGGCTCCGTCCCGAGGACGGGTCCCGTGGTGCGGGGTGGGCCGGGAGGCAGCAGCCCCCAAATGTGCCCCTGGGTGCTCCGTCACCCTGCTTCCCCCCGTCACCTGCCGGGCTTCCAGTCACAGATCTCCATCAATGTTGAGGACTGCGAGGACACGAAGGACGTGAAGGAGCACTGGGGCATCAAGACGAGCCACCACAGGAACTCGTGCTCCAGCGACCAGTCCGAGCACCCGCTGCTGCGGCGCAAGAGCATGCAGTGGGCGCGCCGGCTGAGCAGGAAGGGCAACAAGCACTCCAGCAAGACGGCCGAGTGGATCAGCCAGCAGCGCCTCAGCCTGTACCGGCGCTCGGAGAGGCAGGAACTGTCGGAGCTGGTCAAAAACCGCATGAAGCACCTGGGCCTGCCCACCACCGGGTACGGTAAGTGCCGCTTGGTCGCGCTTCCCCGCAGCGGCGTGCCCCGTGGGCTCTGCAGGTAATCCAACGTGCCCAAGCCCTGTGGATGGGATCGGGGACGTCTCCATTTGCAGTCCTGTCCCTTGGGGTGGGCGAGCACGCAGTGACGCAGTGCTCCAGGCAGCCATCACCATTCCTGGGACAGCCCCAGTGGGGATCTGTGCCTGCGGATGGATGGGGGGGGCACCGGGCAGCCTGTAACGCAGAGCCCAGGTTGGCTCAGCGTTTGTCCTGGTAGAAATGGCATTAAGGAGACTCCAAACCCACTGCCCTCAATTCAGCAAAACCCGAGGGTCCCGCCCCGTAGCGCTTCAGGAAGAGGTGACCCCCCCCATGGGCTGGTGCAAGGCCCCTGGGTGTGGGTGTGAGCTCGGCCTCCTTCACCAAATGTCCGCAGCGGGGGTTTCGGTAGCGGCAGGGCCGAGGGCTTTGCTTCATTGCGTGTGACCGCAGTGTGTGTGTGTCGCTGTGCGTGCGGCTTCGTGGTGTCGTCAGCGCTCAGGGACCCTCTGTGCGGCCGCCTTCCTCGTGGGGTCTGCCCCCCAGCACCGCTGCTGGAGCCTGTCTGCCTCCCCGGGAGGAGGGGGGAAATCCCCGGCCCCCGGTCCCGACGAAGCCCTCACCCCGCGGCTTTCTTGGTTCGTTTCGTCCTCTCTTTTTTCCTTTGAGACCATCCTGTGCTGCTGCCTGTCTGCTCCATGCTGGACGAGCTTCCATCGCCACGGCCAGGCCCCCCTGCGCACGGCGCCGAGCCCGGGGCCAAACCCTGGGGTTTTGCTGCTGGCTGATCCTCGCAGCCCGCAGGCCGTGAGGGTGGGGAGAGGCAACGTGAACGACTGCGGGGCTCTGCAGGCTGGGTGCTGGGCGCTGGGTGCTGGGCACTGGGTGCTGAGCGCTGGGTGCTGAGGCACTGGGTGCCTCCCCGCCCCGGGGGAGCAGTGGGGACAGGTGGGTGCAGCTCTCAGCGTAGCATTCGCCTCTTTTTGTCCCCATCTGGTCCCCGAAAGCTCCCGCGGCTCATCCCGGGAGCCCCCCAGCTCCCTTCAGGGCTCTGCTTCAGGGCCTGCAGCACGGCTGATGGCACTCGCTGCCCAAAATGCTGCCCCGGCCCTGCAGAGAGCACGGCAGGGAAGGGCCGATGGTGGGGATGGGAAGCTCCCCGGCCACCCCGGGACAGCGCAGGGACACGGCGTGTGGCCTGCCAGCCTGGACGCCGTGGCGTTTTGGAAGAACACCTCGCTGTGCCTGCTCCCCCCTGCCTTGGTCTTTTTGCTCATTTAATTGCTGAAGTGCAGGAGCTCGTCTCTAATATTTGCCGAATCATGGCTTGCTGACCTCTCTCTCTCTCTCTGTTTATGTCTGTGCCTTTCCCTGTATGTTCTGTAGAGGATGTAGCAAATTTAACAGCCAGTGATGTGATGAATCGGGTAAACCTGGGATATTTGCAAGGTAATGCTCTTTCCCTGGGAGTCACGCGTGACTCACGGCATACAGCGTCCAACAAGATCATGCCAGCTAAGCCCAATCCACACCCTTGCCGTTTTTCACCTTAGATATTCGAGCCTTTCACACACTCAGTTGTTGGGTGGAGGTGGAAAACCAGAGACCGTCCTGCAGCCGCGGGGTGGACGCAAGGCTCTGTGAAGTCAGGAGACAAACAGCACGACTTCCCTAGCCTAATTCATGCAAGGAGCCCGCTGCTATCTCTAACAGCCGCCTCCTCGCAGTGCTCTGCGAGCTGGTGTTGATCTGTAAAATCAGAGGCATTTCTAGGAGGGGATTTTGGGCTCCTGGTGGGCAAACCAGCGCCACGTGCGCTGGGGATGGAGCGGGACGGCAGAGTGCGGCCGCTCGCCTCCGTGCTGCCTGCATCTCACTGCGAGCTCCATGGCTCTGTAGGGTTTGGAAAGCCCTGCTTCATCCCAGGTTTGTGTTTGGGAGAACGCCGAGTTTGGCAGCCCGTAGGTCCCAGCAGTTGCCCCGGGCTCAGCTCGGGGCTGGGAGGGAAGGGTCGTGGGGCAGCCGTGTGGTCCCAGCCCTGCCGCGGGCAGCTCGGCGCTGCGGGGCTCGTGCTCGGCACACGGCTTCACACAGCGGGGCTCAGGAGAGCCTAGAGGTCAGCCACAGCCCAATTGATCCATGTTTTAGGCTTCGCTAGCCCATGCTTAAGGTGAAAAGTTGGCATTTTCCTACCAACCGTGTCCATCACCAGAGAACCAGCCCAGCCGTGGCTCATGGAAGCCCCGCGCCAACTCGGTATATTGCCAGCTGCTCTGCGGAGCTCACACCTCGCTGCTTTTCCCCCCCTCCCTCGGCAGCGTTTTGGCTCCGTGAGCCACGCTGCGGGGTCCTGGCACCGGGAGCCCACCCGGGAGCCACCCCCACCAGCACCCGTCTGCAGCGGGCGCGTCGCTAGCGTGGGAGCAGGAGCTGCAGATCCCCCCCTCCCCAAAATCCTACCTGAGGGTGCCGATGGGCTGAGCCCTGCCTGGGTGCAGGGGACACTGTGGCAATATACGTGGTGGGTTTGGCAGCGCTGCATGGGGGTGGGGGGGGGCAGGAAAAGGTGCTTCCATGGTGCAGGAGAACCTGCGGTGCCCTGGGGACCCCCGTCACGGCGCACCCCGCGGGTCCCGCGCTCTGTGTGCGCCCCAGCGTCGCCATTCCCCATCCCTGCCTCGCTGTAAGGCTGAGCACTGGCACGGCTGAGGGCTCTCAGCGGTGGTGGGACCGGTGAGAGCAGCAAAAAGTGGCCCCTGGGGAGGGGGTGAGCAGCAAAAAACAGAAGGGGGGGGGTCCATGAAGGGGGACCCTTCCCATTTCCCCTGCCTGCCCCATGCTGGAGGTTTCAGCCTGGGCTCAATCTGCTCCTTGCCCACCGTGCACCACCAAGCAGGTGCCCCGTGGAGCTCGATGTGTCCCATTGCCCCCCCAGTGCTGCTCGGGGAGGCGGGGGTCATGCAGAGCCACCTGTGCCGGCGTCCTGGTGAGCAGCCTTGCAGCGAGCCCGTGTCCCACCGCGCTCATCCCGCCTCCCCAGCACCCGTCTGTCCCCTGCCATCCCCTTCGTCCTGTCCATCGCACGCCCTCGCTGTGCTCCCGCTGCTACTTGTGTCCCCTGCCCCTCCCTGCTGCCTGCTCCCCCCCCTCCCCATGATCTTGTTTGGTAGCGAAGGGCCCCGCGTGCTCGGGCTGGCGTCGCGGCGGCTCCGTGCCTTAGGGCCTGTCCCCAAAGGGGACACGCGGCGGCCGTGTCCCCCGGGCAGGAGCAGGGAGCGATGGCTGAGCTTAGTGCTGTTGCTGGAGGGTGACAAATTCAGCAGTTCAGCGAGGGAAGGAGGTGGCAAACCATTGTCGTGGCCCTGGGGTGGGGGGCGGGTGCTTGGAGGTGACCCCCGTGGGCAGGTGCTTGGAGGCGTCGCGCTGTACCTAACGCGGCAGAACTAACGTCTTTCCTTTCTTTGCACTAAAACAAGGTAAGACACCTTTATTTATTTCTCCTGGGGCGGGATTTTTAAGTGAAGAGTCTGCGAGTCCCCTGGCTGGGGAGTGGCTGTGGGGCACGGGAGGAGGTGGTGGCAATGCTCCTGGTGCTCGCCCTGCTGCGGTGGCACGGCCCTGCAAAGGGACTGGCGTGCTGTCCTGGGGACTGGCTGCGACCCCGCTGAGCTGGGGATGCTGCAGGGGGCTGTGGGGGCTGCCAGATTGTTCTCTGGGTGCCCATTGGGATGTCCATTGGGGCATCCATTGGGGCATCCATCGGGGTGCCCGTTGGCACATCCACCAGGGCACGGTGCCGGCCCCGCTCACCCTCCCCATCCCCTTCCCTCCCCTGGCAGACGAGATGAACGACCACCAGAACACCTTGTCCTACGTCCTGATCAATCCACCCCCGGACACGCGGCTGGAGCTCAACGACATCGTGTAGGTACCACCCACCGACCCCAGTCCAACCCCAAACTGGGGTCTCCACGCACGGGGCTGGGGTGCAGCCCTGCAGCGTGCCCGGTTTCTGCCCCGCAGGTACCTGATCCGCTCGGACCCACTGGCGCACGTGGCCAACGACGGGCACAGCCGCAAGAGCAGCTGCAGCAACAAGCTGGGCCCCTGCAACCCCGAGACACGGGACGAGACCCAGCTCTGAGCACACCCCCGGGGCCGGGGGCGAAGGGAAAGGAAGAGAAGGGAAGGAAAGAAGGAGGAAAGGAAGGAAGGAGGCTGCTGCCCCGTGCTGGGGCCAGGCGATGCCCAGCCTGGCTGTGAAATGCCCTGGAGGGACAGGACAGACGGACAGACAGACAGCCGGCAGTCACCCACGTGGGTGTTTTTAACATTTTCTATGAATACCGCAACTAGTGAGAACGGCTTCGCTGGTGCTGGCGGGATGTGTCCGAAACCACACCTGAGGCTGCTCAGCAGGAGGGTGCAGGTCGTTGGCAATTTTTGGGGCACCGCTGATACAAGAGAAGCCACGCTGTGCTCATCCTGCTCCTCTTTCGCCTGACATCCCCGAGGGATACCCAAAATGTGGCTCTTTCACCCCAGTTTTCCCCCCGTCGGCCTTGCTGGGTGCTGCCGGGAGCTGCGCGGAGGCGCTGGGGAGGACGGGGCGGGACGGTGCAGCCCCCTGCAGCGCCCTGGCGACATCTCCAGAAACCAAACCACACCAAAAAGACAAAAACGGACCCAAAGCCATGCCAGACGTCTGCCACGGGCCTTGTCGCATGTGCCCAGGCGTAGCCAAACCCTGGCTCCAGCAGCTGCCAGGCCGGGTGTCGCGGTGGCTCTGCGCAGGGCGCACAGGGACGCGGCGCTGGCACCAACCACCGCTCCTGGGGCTCGGCACCAAAGGCACCGAAGGCAGGGACGTGTCCCCAAGCTGCCCCTTCCCCTCGCCCCCTTCCCGGCTCCTCGCAGTGCTGTTTGGACCCAACCCGCCCCGGCTGGGCGGCTCAGACCTCTGCAGCAGAACAGGGGATGGATTTTCCATCTATTTTTGCACACTTTACAATGTTGACGTGTAAAGGTTTTCTTTGACTGCCAAGTAAATAACCGAGTTGGTAACTTTATATACTTCTACATTCATATGTTAAAATTTCAATGTGATTTTTATTTTGTTTTATTTTATTTTTTTTTTGGCTGGGAAGCCTGTAAAGCACAATGTGGCCGTGCCATCCCGGCAGCACCCCAGACGCTGCCAGGCGGGTGGGATTTTGCCGTTACCATCTGCCAGTCCTTCTCCATGACACACAATCAAAGCTGTTTACAAAAACCTGTTAAAAACTGCGGCACCTCCCCAAGTGGGTTGAGACAGGACAGACCTTTGTGGTACCTGAAGCAGGAGGAAAAGTCCAGTCCCGTGGAAGCTCTTGGAGGCCTTTGGGAGGAAAAAAGGCCAGCTGGTAGTCACTACAGCTTCTGCAGGCTGATGGTTGGACGGGCTCTGGGCTTGGTCTTTTTGTAATCCTAATTTTTGCTGGTTTGCTGGCCAGGAGACCCTGCACGACCTGCAGCCAGGCAGCCCTGCCCCTTCCCCTGTGCTTAGACGTGGGCACAAACAGAACCATTTCTGATGCTTTTTACATTTTTTTGTTTGTTCGTTTGTTTTTAACTATTTTTGATCTTGTTGGCTCTGGCAGACACGTTTTATTTATTTGCATTTGTACCTTGTCATGCCAAAAAAATCGGAAAATTTGAATGGGGAGAGCAGCTGGGGGACAGCAGCACGAGGGGGGCTGCACCACGCGAGCCTCACGATGCTCTGCAACCACCACTCCACGTGCTGGTGTGGTTGGGGGAGCCTGGGGAAGAGCCCGGAGAGTTTCCAGCCCTGCTTAGCCATGGGGCCAGCGGCGCAAAGCAGAGCTCCAGAACCAAAACACGGCGTGGGCGATGTGATGCTCCACGTGCTGCCCCCCTCAAAGGGCACATCCCAGCCCCATTGCGGTGTGTGCAGGGCCAAACGCCCCCGGTCAGCCCCACGGCCCCAGGCTCAGCCACATCAACCCTCCTTAAACCCTCCTAGCACGGCGGGGGAGGCTGCAGGGGCTTCGTGAGCGTGCCGAGACAGCCGCCCTCGCCGCCGATGCTTCTGTTTAATGTATAAATACGTGTATTTAAAGAGAAAAAGCTGCGTGTATAAATCCTACTCATTTTGCATACATTATTTCTATGGTGTAAATTTATAGCTGACATTCTAATGGGATGTTTAAAAAAAAAAAAATCCTGTAGATACTTACCTGTGGTCGATGCAAGTCTGAGAACAAATGTTTAATTTTTTTCTAATTCTTTAGACTCGGTTACAATACTAATGTAAAAACAAGAATATTTATTTTTGTAACGGTCCTGGAAACACTGATGCATCAAAACGAGTTGTTTCTGCTTATAAAAGGGCTGTCGGAGAGGGACAAGCACTGATGAATTCCCACCCCTCGGTGGGGTTTGTGTGCTCTGGTGCTGCACAAGAAGCACTAAGGAGGTCGGGTGCATGGTGTGATGGCATGCCAGTTTTGCTTAAACCCAGTGGCTAAGCCATAACTCACCACAATACAGATATATATATATACATTATATATATATATCTGTATAAATCAGGAGGATATTCTCATTTTTTTCCAGTTTACCTAGTGAAAAAATGGGTTAACTATTGATGTTCTGAGGGATCAGCCTGGGAACAGCCAGCCCAGTCCCTGCAGGTTGTCACAGGTGCCACAGCTTTGGGGAAAGACCAGCTGGAAATGGTAACCAAACGCAGAGCACACGCTGTGGGTGGCTGCAGATGTGGGCTTTACCCCACCTGGGGTGTCAGAAAGCAATCCTAAATCCTGGGGCCACCTGGGGTCCCAGGAGAGCTGCGGGCACCCCGAGGCAGCTCGTCCCTGCTGTGGCTTCTGTGGGAGAGAAAAGGCCCTGTTATTGCTCCCAGTGCTAGGGAAAAAAAATCAGAAAAATGAAACTTTCTGAAGGAAATATTTGTGCTTTGACGCAGACACAAAAGGGCCCTGGGGAGACAGGACTAGGCAGGAGCCGGGTGGGTGCGATATTTTGGGTTTACTGGCAAACGACCCCGTTGCATGTTACACGTCCACTAACAGCTTCATCCTCCAAATATGGACTAAATCCATGTATCATGCATTAAAGCAAAACCAAGTATTCGAACAACTGTTAGGATATATTTATCTCCCGTTAACCCCCTTTTTACTTCAGCCTATCTGAACACGGTTTCATTTCCCCAGTGAGGGACCTGTCATCTCTCCAGGTCAGCTCGTGCATGGGTTTTTATCAGCCATGGCAGATAAGAATCACCTCTTTCCCTCTCTGAGACCTAATTTTGTGACATGTTCTTCTGGGATGCACTGTAGACAGCCAACTGGAGATGTTTTTGTACAATTATTGTGAAGATGCTTCACATTTCTGTAAAGACAAATTGAAATAAAAGAGCTGCATGCAGCAACAATGGAAACGGCTGTCCTGGCTGGTGCCTTCGGATTTTTATTTTTCTTTAAGACGTTCTAGAAAAATACTGCAAAAATTACAATGTATTTATTTACCACTGTAGAGGACACAATACTGAAGACAATTTGAGGATTAACAAACGTACAAGGGAGAAATTCAGCGACACCATCAGGTCACTGTTGTACACTCTGCTCTGGAAAGCCGCGAGCAATCCCATGGGGGTGGCGTCCAGGTGGTGCCCACTTTGCTCCCCTGTTGTCCCAGCTGGGAAGCAGCAGCAGGCAGGCAGAGCTGCGTTTCGAAGGACTCCAGATCATGCAGAAGCTTCAAACTTCATTAATTCTGCCCTTTCCAGCAGGGGGTGGGAGCTCTCCCGAGCACTGTGCTCCTCTCAGAGCCCGGAGCTCTCGTCTCAGCAATTCCTCGTCTTGCTTCATGTCCCACAGCAACAGGCACAGGAGGAGAAGAGGAGGAAACAATTCTGCCAAGTTAACCAAAATTAATTTTAAAACTTTGCCATAGTTGAGAAAAACTAGTTTAACACTGAAAACTTTCAGACAAGAAAGATCTAGAGCGCTAAAATAGACATCAGAAAGAAAAAATAATGGAATGTTATCGAGAAGCAAAAAGCAAACTAAAACCATGAAAGATTTTTCACTTTAGTGTAAATTCAGTTTTAATAGCGTTATTCCCTGAAAGACGTACATCCAAAGGAAATAAGTTCTTTCTTCAGTAAGATTTTCATGTAATGCTGTGGTAATTCTGGGGTTTTTCTAAGCTTCAAACCATTCTTTCAAGGGGCTCATTTGAATTTAACAAATGCAGTATATTGAATCTTTAATCATCCCTGCTGCATACAGCAGGTTAAGAAGCTTTCCCCAGAGGTTTTGTTCCCCCATTATAATAAATGTTATTTCTGAACAAGTTCAGAGTTTATTAGACATTACCGTATAAGCCGGTATTTCAGCACCAAGACGTAATTTGAAAGTTGATTTATTTTAGAACAAGCAGGGGACAGTCTCTGAGTGGTGATCTAAAGAAAACAGCAAACTTTCAGCTGCGGCATGTGCAAGGTACTCACGTTTTATTACATGTACGTTCCTCTGGCAACTCACAAAAAACGAGTCCTGTTCTTCTCTCTTTGCACTTTTGGTACGTTTGCCCTGAGAGTTTGCCATGCGCTTCTGTCAGCCAGCAAGTTGAGGCTCACGGCTTTCATCCCGGAGTTTCTGAAGGCCACGACAGAGGCGGATTAAATTGGGATTAAATTACCTCCGTGTTGTGAGCGCTGACGGCTGCCTGGGGAGAACCTCGCAGGATCCGGCACATCCGCGCTCCTGGGTGCTGCAAGAACGCGTTAAAACTGAAGCCAGGGTCAGAATGGCCATCCATAGAAAATTTAGGTCTTGTAACAAATGTGTAACACAAGGAAAAATTAAAGGTGAGATGAATTCAACTCTTTTCTCCCATCTTTAATGCTCATTCTTCATAAATATATAAATAACTATTTATATGATTCAACAAAAGAACATCTGATGGATGGAGGCGAGAGCAAGGATTCGGTTCTTTTGGCTTTACCGTACTGAAGATGCATTTTTAGACATCTAAAAAACATACTCATCAACCACAGGAATAGCTCAAATTATTTCAAAGCGTCCTGAAGAGCGTTATATAAAAGTTTTTAGCTGCACACACACAACACCTCCCCCACAAAACACCTCCCGGATTTCTCAGTCCTGCACGTGTAACACTGCAGTGAAATGGGTACGAAATCAGTCCCCAAAACCCTCTTTGCACCTCGCTGTTGGGTGGTGCCCTTTGAGTGCCCCAGAACAGCAGCTTCGTCTCAGCTGCTGGAGTTCAGCTGCTGCCTGCCACCTCGCCCACTACATCCCCTGCAGATATTTAGTGCCATTTAGTGTCATTTAGTGCCATTTAGTACCTGGCAGCTTCTCCCCACCACCACCGCCTTCAATCACACCGGGAGACCCCAACCACCTGCATCTCACTGAACTGCTAAAAATGAATGTAAAACTCTATAAATAACAGAGCTGCTTAATTAGGAAAGTGCAGCATGAATAGCAGCTTCATATGTAAGCATAACAAGAGATTGGTTATTCTAATTTAAGAGTGAAGAAGTAAAAGCCTGGCTGTCATCCTGCTGTCAGCAAGGACGCTGGATACCCAACCCCAAGGAGAGCAGGGTCCAAGGGAAGGCACCGTATGTCGTGTGCCATGTTTAAGTGGTGCTGGTAGGGGATTGTTGGAGGTTTTGTACTGCCTCTTGTGTCAGACTTGAAGAAATTCAGAAATTCAGGTCCTGAGCACTCACTCACATTTCTCTGCCCTTCCTCTATCCCTGAAGCATCGGTCGCAGTGACAACTCCCAAGGGAGGAGCAGTTCGGGTACTCCTACCTTCCCAGGCTAACAGGGGGGAAAGGCAGGTTTATTTTTCTGTGCTCTCAACCTTCCTAAAAAAACAGCGTTGAACTGTATGAAGGTTTTCAAGATGAGTAAATATTTTCAAAGCTTGGATTATTCTTGCTTGAAGGAGGGAGCATGATGAAGATGAGACACAGACACATTAACCACAAAAGCAGAACAGCACCCGTAAATAAATACACAACACACCGAAGTATGAATGTTTGAAAAAAAGAAGTTGCACTTAAAAGCACTTTAAAGATGTACATTCTTGTATTTATTATTAAAAAACGAGTAAGAAACTGAGAGGTCAAAAGGCAGATTCACGTTGTTGCTGCTCTCTGTGCTGAGCTGAGAGGCAATGCAGGGAGGGAGCTGTAGCCCCCGTCCAGGGAGCGCTACAGAAGTCTCTGAAGGTTCAGGGAAACAAAACACTTGTTTTCAGAAAGCTGGTGAAATTTATTTCCCTTCTCCTGTCAGGAGGCAGAAGTTGGTACCGCAGCTGCATCCCAGCTCTCATCCTCCCCTCCTGCCAAAACTCTTGGGAAGGAGCTCAGTCATTTAAAGTTCCAGTCATTTAAAGTGATTTCACTAGAAACAATGAGAAACACGATATATCCAGAATTTGGGAAACTTAACATTAAGAACACTAACAAAGATAGTCATGGTCCTGCACTCACATTTTATCTCAGCCTGACACTGAACACATTTGACATTCATAGCCAGAGATTGTGCAAAACATTTTGAAGTCTATGAATTATTCTCCCTTCTACAAAGCTCGGCCTGTTTGCCTACACAAAGCTCTGCTCACACCCCCACCAAGTCAAGGTTATATCCTTCACGAACAAGCTGCCTGCCTCTTGGACTGAATTAATGCACCACGTTCCTTACCAAGCTATTAAGGATTAACACTTTTTGGTAACTGTGCTCTGCAGACTACGTATGTGTCAGACAATTCAATCTCTTCTCTCCTTCCCCCGTGATCCTCAGAACTGGATGCTGCCTACAGATGAAGCGCTCCCAGCTCCTCTCCTCTCCAAGCAGATGTTGCCTCCTGTTGCTCCCAGGAGTAAGCAGAACCACACTGCAGCAGGGAGAGTAAGGACATGACCTAGCACGAGACCCAGGACACTGAGGGTGCCATCACCTTTTTTAGTCCACTTTCTATGGGCAGCAAGATTTCAGTCTGTATGAAATACAGAAGACTAAAAAAATCATGTTATTTTGTTTTTAAACTACAAGAACTATTTTTCTATGAAAAAAAGTCAGTTACAGAAAATTATTTCTGAAAGCCTTTTGGTCAAATTCTTGCACATCTCAATCAAGGTCAGGAGAACGAAGCTCTCGTTTAGGACAAGTTATTGGAGCTACTTGCAGGTGAAGCTTTGTAAGAGCGTAACTAAACACAGAATAGCACATCTTTAAAGCATGTTAGTTCTCTGACGGGATGAAGTGTCACAACAACAAAAGGTACACATGAAATAAAAAGGAAATCAGTTAATGAATTTTATTAAATTTCAGTGCTTTCATAAAATAAATATGGTATATAATATCAAACAGTGAGAAATAAAGCACAAGCATGAAAAGCATGGTAACAAAAGTTACACACACGATGGTGTTTAATACTTAGCACTTTAGAAACCATAAAGCCTTTAATTATTTACAAGCAGCAAACTATCTAACATAATTTACAAAGTTGCAGCAGCCTAGTCAAGAAGTACTGGGAGGGGAAAAAATGGAGAGACCGCAATGGAAGACCTTCACTTTGCTCTACCTAGTTAGTTAGCACTTTATTACGTACCCTATTTTCTCCTTATGTACATAACTCGTTGCAACTTCCATTACTCTCTAGGTTCAATAATTACACTGTATTGTAGTTTAGAGCTCAGTTCATCTCTAGGATTGGTGTAGTGCCATCTGCACCGAGCAGGTATTTTCAAGTAACACTTCAAATAAAAGTAAACATGTGCAAACCAAGGTTACGAACCTCCATGACCCTCAGGTAGCAGTGTCCAACCGGATGGAGCAGTCGCACGTTAGCAGATTAAGTTATGCAATAGCTACAGAAAGCTACTCAGAAGTCCAGCCCGGGCAAAAAAAATGGAAATGGGAATTTTTCTTTTTAAATGGAACTGAACTGCAAGTATACCCTGTTACCACAGACAAAAATTTAATCTGCTGAAACACAAAGATCTTTAAGGTCATAACTCAAGATTTAATATTTCAACATGAAAAGAAATCCAAGCCATTCGACTTATTTGGGCTTTTGAAACAAATGCAAATGTCTCTGTTTAAAAATTGCTTTTAAATGAGAAAAACAAATCAATAATATATTAATATATCACCCAAAATAAAAAACATACACACTCTTCATTTTAGAGCATGCTGCTCATTCAGAAGAAAGACAGGACAAAGAAAGTAGAATTACATTTCATGATGTAATAAAAACATTAAAATTTGTGATCATTAAGTGCACCATCGTACAGGATTAGCGTGCTCAGAGTGGAAATGTTCTATACCTACCAGGATCCATTTTTATTAAAGCAAACAAATCTTTAGGACACTACCTGAAACTGAAATCGATAACAA